GGCTCACTGGGAGCTCCTGGCTGAGCTGGAAATCTAATTGAAGCCTCTCAAGTTGCGTCCACCTTCCCTTTCTGACCAGCTCACCTCAGGTCTTATGTGCCATTCGGCTTGAGCGGCCACCCGACACTGGAGAAATCCCAGGCTGACCTGTGATACTCCTGCCAGCTAGTTTTGCTTTGGTTTTAATTCCTTGCTTTTGCTTTTCAGAGTCGTTCGATGGGGCTTGGCTTGAGGAGGGGCTGAAATGCCATCACATGCTCTGCACCTCATGAAAGGAAGTGTAATTAAGCCACCTGCCTCTAAAACGCACAGCCCCCCTTTGAATAATCAGGGAAAACCACCAAAAGGGTTAAACACTTTATTTAGATGGCTTTGTTTGTTACGTGTGTGCTTTGCTTGTTCTGAGAATTAACGGAAGATAAGCTAAAAGTTCATTTATAAGAGTATTAAAGGATAATTATGCTGGAGTAAATGCAACGGGTCAAAAGGCATTATGATGAACAGAATCATAATATAGGGCTTGGGAAAATAAGCTAAAATGTACAATGCCTAACATCACTCACTGAACACCACAGAAAGTGTTCTACTTTGGTTTTCTCTCTGCCTCTTCATTCCCAGTGTAAATTAAAGCTGCATTCATCAGCACTCTGCTGTTCATGTATGAACACGTAATGATAATCAATTGCAGCAACTTAAATTAAACTTTTGGGGAGGCATAAATATGTGACCTTTTAATATCAACAAAATGATAAAAAAGATTTGGTAGGAAATCTGTTTCAATCAGATTAGAGGAGAAGTGGGTAAAGCTGATTACAAGCCCGCTAAACACAGTATTTGGGCAGTATTTGTTCAGAAACAATAGCGTTAATTCTACTTTAACAAGTATTATCTGGAAAATCAATAATTAATGGGAACCCATTATCAACTTGTAATTTAGCACAGAGATTAAGTTGGGGGAGAAGTGAAAGCGAGTGGGCAACCTGCTTTTACTTGACCTGTCAGACTGATGGATTAGCGAGTGACAGCAGGTTTCATATTTTTTTAAAGGAGAGGTGGTAGAAGTAAGTCAATTTGGGCCTCTTGCCTGTTTGGCACCACTTTGCCCTCCTGCCTCCTCGCGCTTTGCAGAAGGGACGCCTTGCGCAGCCATGTTGCTGCAGCCCAGGGGCCGACGTCTTCGGTGGCACTTGGTCATGGGCCAAGGGGGGACGTCACCTCCGAATCCATGGGGTGCATGGAGAAGGGTGGAAGGAGGGAATGGGGACGGGCAGAAGGGTGCCGTTTGCGGATGGCATGAACGGGTGTGATCACACCATCTTGGCTTGGCTTCCCAAGGGGACATCCCCCTCCTTAACATCTTTCTGCACCTCCCAGCTTGCCGAAGGGCCGCCTACCATGTTTTCTCTTTGACTGACAGGACTTGTAACGACATGTGTGAACGCATGTGAACGGCCAGATTTTCCCCAGCCGGCTCCTCCCTTCCCCCCACCACATCAGCTCTATTTGGGGAAACAACCTTATTTGTCCTCTGTGCTGTGTTGGGACTCAGATGGCGCGTGTGCGCATGTGGCTCAGAAGTGGTGTGCGCGCGACTTGTCGCTGGAGTAGGTCATTGCAACAGATGCCAAACAGATAATGGTTTTGCGAAGACAACATACTTCCAGAGGATACAGATGTTCTGATCAAGGATCTGTGTGTGTGTGTGCGCGCGCATGTGTGTGTGCATCTCTCTGGGTATCTCTGTGTGTGTTTGCTGAGGCTAGAACAGGCTTTTAGAAGAGGACCATCATTGTTTGATAAATTTTGTGTGGACAACAGTGAGCCACCATTTCCACCTTGCTGCTGGCCTGCCCATCTTCTTCTCCTGGGCAGAGGCTCTTTTTCATAGAATCATAGAATGGTTTGGGCTGCAAGGAACCTTAAAGATCATCTTGTTCCAACCCCCCTGCCATGGGCAGGGACACCTTCCACTAGACCAGGTCTTTTTGCCCAGAGCTGAATTACTTACCAGGTTTTGAGCAGTGCAGGATGTGGTTTGTGGGCTGTAGTGGTTTAGCAGAATAGAGAGTGAAAGGAGATGAGTTTGGAGCACTGGAAAGCAAGTAAGCCAGTGCTAGAGGGCTTGTGGAGCCCCTGGTGAAGCTGGATGTGGCTGTGTAGACACCTATGATTGGGATGTTCTTCGCCCTGCTCGAAGGCAATGGTTGAAAATGAGATCAAGGAAGACGCTGCTGACACAAGCAGTGGCCTGTGGATAGAATAAAGGCAAGCGTGCAGGGACATATCACCTCTTTTAGCAGAGCAGTGGACAGAGCTGGAAATGGTGACATCTTGGGCTGGCCTCACATTTCCCACCAAACCTACCCTCACTAGCGGTGCAGGTGAAGGACACCACAACAGGAGGAGAAGCCCAAGAGCTGTACTTGTCTCTTGGCTTCCACTGGCTGTGTCCTCCATCTCTGAGTCGCAATGATGGTTGGTTTGGTCCTTGCAGGGTGACTGAAAGGCTGATGTGCAGACACTGGCTGGACGTAGGCTGGCCCTGGGGCAGGACGTGCAGCCCGGGTCGTGATGAGGGCTTCTTGACAGTCAGCAAGGCGGGATGCTCTCGGCGAAGGGAACAGATTGAAGGCAGATTGTGTGGGTGAAGCAGCACCGTGCTACACAGCTAGGGAGTGGCTTCAGAAATGGCATTTAATCATTCAACATTAACACAAGACATCTGTCACCGTCCTCAGCAGTGACGGGGCTACACAGCAAAACAATATGTTCTGGCGCTCCTAATCACTGGAAAAACACTACTTTTTGCAGAGAGTTCTTTTAGTGCCCAGCACAAATCCTTCTATTTTATTATAGCAATCCCAGCCAAATCCTCCAATAAATGGAGTTTTTATTAATGTGCAGCTGTTAAATGAGAAAAAATAAAACTCAGAAATAAAAATGAATCCCTGAATAATCGGGCTGATCCCAGGCAGTAAGAACAAGCAGGCCGACCAAATACTTACAGCTTTTTGGTATTATTTAAAAATATGATCGGGGCTTTTCTTTTCCCCCTTCATTTTTTAATGCAGGCCTGATTAGATTTTGTTCAGGGAGATCCGAGCCACTTCTGTGGGCTGGAAACGCAGCAAGGAGGAGTGCAAGGCGGTGGGATGAGGGTCACATCTAGTGCGCCTGCTTGGCATTTGCCTGCTGCCATGGTCGGGAATTTGCTCCGGCCAGGGAGGAGGGTGGTGTGGTGGCACCATGCCCAAGGGCAGCTGGGGTCCGGCTTTGCGGTGGGGTCTGCTGGCTCCCGTGCGAAAGCGAACAAAAGCGAGTGTCAAAAAAAAAGAGGGTGGAAAGAGGTGGGCGATGAAAGCCCTCCGACCGTTGCAGCTCACATCAGTAGGGCAGGGCGGTTTGCTTTGACCAGTCACAGTTTGGGGCTCTTTGCCTTGAAATGGAGCTTGCCAGGTGCGATGTCACTCCCCAAAGTGCCGTTTTGCAGTTAAAAAGGAAGAAAAAGCGATCCTGTGATGATGTGGTGGGTGAGGCAGGTGCTAAGCCGGGGGAGGGGGGGAGAGCGATGCCTGCCCTGAGTTTAGCTCCACGTCCTTTCCCCATCCACAGGTCCTGTCCTGCCAAGGCGTCTGCAACCCCCGTGTCATGGGTGGAGGGGCCTGCCACGAAGGGAACAAACCTCCTGCAGGGAGACCTGGTCCAACTCCACTACGCCCACGGCACAGCCACGCGACCGCACGAGTGCTGGAAGCTGGGCTAAACCAGGTCCCAGGCTACGGTCCAGCTGGCAATAAAACGACCATCAGGGGCCGTTTCCTGATGGCTCCAGCCCAAAGGACAGTGCTGAGTGAGCAGAGATGTAGGAGACCTGCTGGAGCTGCCATCAGATGCATGCTTGTGTTTTCAGGTAGCCGAGACCTCGGGCAGCCCTATGGGGGCCCACCTAGAGCTAAGCCTACAGTGGGAGGGTAAAGCCAGCCCAGGCAGCTGCCCCAGAGCCAAGAAGGCTGTCATCCTGCCAGAGATGCTCAGAGCTGAGCTGTGGCCATCGGGCCATCAGGCCATCGGGCCTGTCACTGGTGGTGAGAGCCTGGCCACCCAGGGGTGCTGCCTAAGGAATGCAAGGCAGGAGGGATCCGTCCAGAGCGGATAGCACCCTGCCCACGAAATGGCATGACCACCTCCGCTATTCATTCTGATTAAATTAGAGCCAAAGTAAAGCCCTAATTCTTCTGATTAAAGCTTAGAAGTTAAGCTTTTCGGGCAGGATGCGTGCCTTGCCCTATGCTCTCCTGAACCACTTTGTCCGCTCGATGACAAGACACTAATAACACTCCTATATGTTTCTTCTAAGATGCGTGTGATGCCCGGGTCTGTAGGGTGTATGATGTTCCTGGGACAACCCACCACTTCTGTCTGAATAGTGGTATGAGGGTCACATCCAAGCCAGGGTATGGGGGACAGAAGCAGATTTAATTGTCACTGTTTCAGCCTGAATGAATAGGTATTTTACCCCAGGGTAGCTCTGTTGCCAAGCTTCTCTCAAGTGCTCTGTACCCTGCTTTTCTGCTCTGCAGGACTTTCTGAGGACGTGGGATGGGATCGTGCATGAGGCTTGCCTGCTTTGCACTTGCCATCAAGGAGGAGCTCGTGGCACCCTCTGGGAAGCCTGTCCCTGGGCAAGACCTGGGCTGTGTCTTCAGCAGGGGCTGGAGGCACGTCCTGAGGACCCCGTCCCCCACATACGTCCAGCTTCTTGCAGGGAAGCTGGGAAACTTCTGCTTCTAACATCTTGCAGGGGGAAGCTCTCCCGTCCCTCCTCCTCTGCACCACGGGCAGAGGCACAGCCTGGTATTGTTTGTCACAGATCAATGCATTTACCCATGTGGAAAAATGTCATTACCACCAGGGCTCGGCTTTTCTTTCCCCTGGATCCTCTCCCCGCTGCGCTGGTGAGGGGCTGGCTAATTGCCTCTTTTCTCAGGTTGTCCCTGGGGATGGCTGCCCCGCGGCTCGCCGCCCAGCTCTGGCTGGCCACAGGTCACGCCGACGCGCTCAGGGCTTCCCCCAGCCCGAACATCTCCTTTGCCAAACAAATGAACACTCAGCAGCCGCGCGGGGCCACAGGGCTCTTCGTTACATCTCCCCTGGTGAGCTAAGGAAACAAAAGCAGAGGGGTTGTCACTTAAAAAGAGAGGGAAGGATGGGCCGGGGGCTCCTAGCTAGGAGAGGAGATGCAGGTAACCCGCTTGCCTGTGCTCCATACCGTTATGGCACCGGGATGGCCAACAAAAGTAAGGGGCAGTGGAGTAGAACACCCGCAGTGGTGGGTCCTCTCCCGGGTGGGCTGCATCTGCCCCCAGAGATGATCTGCTGGGCCGGGGCAGCGAGCAGCCCAAAATGGGGCTGTCGCAGAGGTTTCTTGCCCTGGGCCAGGCAGGGCGACAAGAGCAGAGAGAAGGGTATGCCCGAGGGTTTCTGCTGCCACCGCCGCTGCAGCACGGCCACCTCCCAGGAAGCTGGAGAGCGCTTTGGCTGGATGAGCACTGTGGGAGCAGCAAAGGAGGGTGAGCAGGGGGGATGCTGAAGGAAACTGATAACCAGGCATCTCTCCCCCAGTGAAACTGGAGCCTTTCTAGGTACAGAGCAAAAGGAAGCAAGAGCCTTTGCTGCCATTTCCAAATAGGGAGAAAATACGTTTATTCCACCTTCAAAATCCAGTGAAACCTCAAGCCGAAAGGGAAGTCTGCAGACAATGATCCCACAAGGGAGAGGTTTATTTCCTCTTAATCCTTTTCCTCCTCCTTTTTTCTCAGAGCGTGACAATACCAATAATGTAAGTCCTTATTTGAGGTGATTAAGTAACTGTTCATTGTTGGCAACATTCAATCTGTTCATTTTGGACAATATGTTCCTTTTGGCATCAAGGTCCACCTTGACTATGTCAGAGGAATCATGTCAAATCAAGGACCAGGAGCTGGTAGGAAAGCTAGAGAATCCTTTATGCTAAAATCTGTCCTTTATTATAAGAAAAATTAATCCCACAAGGAAAATTTACACATTTTACAACTAGTTGCTGACAATGAAGGAGCTGAAGAGAAAAGAAGAAGAGAAGAAGATGGCCCAGGAGTGACATTGGTGACAGCAGGGCTGAACTATGGCAGGAGAAGCACACAGGGGGACGTCTGTGCACGTTGAAAGCTGCTCTTCCTGCATCCAAAAAGAAAATTGCACAATGCAGTGTCAAAGTGCAGAAAACGCATTCCCGAGAGCATGGAGGGAAGCTGGGCATGAACAGCTCTCCTGCAGGGTCAAGTAAAATGGGTGAAATGAGCTATGGGAAGCCTACCTCTTATGTCTGTGGTTCTAACACCAAATAATGCGATTGCCTGCAAAGGTGAGCCGGCCAAGCACGCGTGCCTCTACTCATACACGAAGGAGGATCCACACACGGCCATATATTTGATGTTTTTTTTCTGCTAGTTCTGTAGGTCCTTTAGATGGTCTGTTTGGGACAGGATTGCTTCTGTAAAGGGTCATTGGCTCGTGTAATGCCAGGTGGGCTCTGTGAGACAGCCACGTGTCAGTCTCTTTAGCTAAAAGACCCTAGTTTATGTCTCTTGGGAGTCCAGTCCTAAACTGGGGTGGGGGCTGTGAAATTCATTAATGAATTATCTGCTCTGTCTGAAAAGAAATGGAGACATTGCGCGGTGTTGGGAAGCTGTGCTCCAAAATCTCCTGAGCTTTCTGCCAACGCCATCTCCCCGCTCAGCTGCAGAGAGGAGAGAGCTGGGAAAGCCCAGGGTCTCGCTTGTCACGGCAGACCCAGAGTGGCGTTGCAAGCCCGGGCCAGTGCTGAGAATGGGACCCGGACCTCTTTGCACAGCCGAAACCTTTGAGTTCACCTTCAAGCAGAGGCACCGCGTTTCGGCACCTGTTTGCATTCAGGGGAGCCGGTCTAGAAAGCGGCATTAAAGGGAAGAGTGAGAGTAGCCGCCTGCGCGCGTGGTGTCCCCTGCTTTAATTAGGTTAGCTTCTTTCATGGCAAGTGCTGTCATGGCAAGCTGAAAAATCAATACCATATGGCAGAGCACTCAGATAGCAAACTTGGAGATTAATTAAAGGAGAAGTAATTCTGTCAGGTCTCATAGCATAGCGCCTACGATTAGGCATGGCTGAACTGGTTTGGAAATGCAAAGGCTCGGCAACACCTTCACCCAGAGCTGAGCTGGACTCTCCACCACTTTGGGGTCAGAATAAAGTGAAATCCCCCTTTCTCTACCCCCAAGGGAAATGTATTGGAAATACTGAAATCAATGCATTTTCCTGGATTTCCCTGTGTCTGCGGGGCCAGCCACTTGCTTGCAGTGGCTGCAGGTCAGGGCGGGGAGGTGGGGAGGGATGCATTTGTTCTGGGAGGCTTCTGCTTGGCGAGGTGCCGGGTATGAATGTGGAGAAGGTGCTGCCTGGGGGCTCACCATGCTTCTGGGCTGGGAAAGCCATGGGAGGCAGCAGAAATAATAAAATGCTGAGAGGTTTAGACATTATGACAATAAGCACCGGATGGGTACTTAGAGAGAGGGATGGCTCAGAGGCTGGGTAGGTGCAGGTGTCTGGGAGGGAAAGAAGGCTGTGGAGAAGGTGGAGAAGAGATGAAGCAGGGAAAAAAATCAACCGTCACGTCACCAGAGGAGCAGCCGGTTCTCACGAAGGCCGTTAGCAGCCCAGGCACTTCTCCGTCACTCCTTCACCTCCTGGGACCAGTGGCTTCCAAACCAACCCAATTGTCCCTGAGCTTTTCCAACACCCCTTGCAGTCACAAGCTGTAGCTGTGGCTACTGGGGGAGGGGGGGTGAGGCATGTCCTGTTCCCCAGCACGTTGCTGGGTACCTGAGGGCCAGCCAGGTCAGGAGACCAGAGTCCTGGAGCCAAGCCTAGATTTCCTATGGCAGCAACTGGTGTGTCCGCCACAGCCTGACGTAGTTTGTGATGTTACACCCAGAGTGAGTGCAGAGCAGCAGCAATGCCCGTGGCACCTGGATAAGACACCTGCGCTAGGATCCAGCAAGATTTGACTCCCAGCTCTGCCCCTGTCCTGCTGCCTGGCCGTGGGCAGGGCCCTTCCCCTCCTCCTGCCCATTCCACATAGCGAACAGAGTGGTTGCCCATCGCTTCTGACATCCTCCAGCATGCCGAGCTCCCCATATCTAGATGGCAAATGCTAAAACTGTGGATGTCAGTGGAAATATTCTGAAAGACCTTGCTGGTCTTTAACTTATTTTATTCTTTTCACATCATGCCATTATCTTATTGAAAGCCAAACATTTGAATGAAGAAACTGTCTGACAGTCTTCCGGTCTGGAAGTAAAGAGTCTAGGTTCAATTCAAGACCCGCTAAGGTCAGTAAAAAACTTCCAGTGGGGTTTCATTGTCCTTGGGTCGAGACCTTCATGGGACCGAAAACTTCTCTGCTCTCCCAAATGTAAAAGAAACCTGAGGTGGTGATGAAATGCTGTTTTTTCATTAAAAAAAAAAAAAAAAAAAAAAAAGGGAAGAAATCTGACTCCATCGCTTGGGAAGTTTCATTTCCAGGGCGCGTACCAGAGCGGGACAATGTCTACCCCTCTTTTGGGAGATGCTGATTTAATGAATGTGGCAGCTATTGTGTGTGCTTGGGAGCCTCACAGCCGTTTTTCTTCTGCTGATATTTTCTTTTCTTTTCTGCTTTAATGAGTGTTTCTCTAATTGACTTGATGATTTCTGTTTAATTAGCACATTTTGGAGGAATGATCAAAAAATAATAAGATAAAGTAATCGGACAAGCATAGTGCGGAGGAATAATAGCTCCTTTGTGGGGCTAATTGGAGTGGACAGTCCATCGGCTAGTTTGGGGCTCCTCACAGTTGGATATTCCCAGCCTAGCTGTGCCGTGTGCCCAGGACTTCCAAGCACCCACATAGACCCAGCTCCGGTAGTCATTTCAATTAGCTTTAATGAGCTGTGAATGAGCACCAAGGAGAACCGAGTGTCGACCTGCCTTGTTTTGCCGTTGCCCAGATTTTGCAGAAGGCTGCGGAAGCAAGCGGACCTACCCAGGACCTACGGCAGGCACGGGGCTCCAGGTACCACCAGGCAGAGCATCCCCAGGGAGGGCTGTGTCCCAGGTCACACACCCTGTATAGGACAGGAGCAGGGGGTTGCCCCCGGGGATGTGAGATGAGCAGGAAACCGGGACCAGAAAACAACAACAAAGTGAAGTGGAAGCGAAAAGCACCAGCTGAAGGAGCAGCCAGACATCAGAGCTACGGCTGTTGTACCTGCTTCACCTGGGTTTCTCCCTGAACACCCTGCCCCTCGCATTCCTATATATCACCTAAAGGTCTGGCCCTCTGGGACATGCCCCAGCCTCATCCCTAGGAGCAGGGACAGGGCTTTCCATGGGCTACATCACCTATAGCTCCTGGAGATGCATGGGGTGAGGTCCTCTTGCTCAACGATTACCCGTCATGCCTCCATTTGTAGTTGTAGGTGTAGCACCTTGATGGTCATTTGTTTGCCCTGTGTTTGGCTAGGAATTAATTAGGAGATGGGCTCCAGGCTGCTGTGACAGCTGTCTGCGTGCGGCACTTCCCAGCAGTTTGATTAAATCTGCGACACTCCAGATGTGAGAGCCCTGTGCATCGGCACATGGTTTGCTCTTAAACTCCACTTAAACCATGACTGCTCTTCTGGTTTTAATCAAAGGCAAATGCCTTAAGACAGAAATCTGTGCACAGGAATTAGTAGGGATGTCGCTGGGGCATGTGGAGTGGGACATGGAAAGGGACACCCCCTCCCCCTTCTGGTGCCAAATTAGGGCTGCTGATGCACTTGTAGTAAGCTTGGCTGGCGATGCTACAGCGCTGAGCAGGTGGCGTGCACAGCCAGCTGTGGCTGCGCTCACCCTCCAAACCCTTTGCTTCACCCTCGTCAACTTGAGCTAGAAACGAAGCACTTCCCGCAACCCGGCAGTGTTGGGAGCACAGATTTCCCCATTCGTTTAACTTGGCCATGCTGCCTGCCCCTGCAAATCCATCAGCCATAAATGGAGGATATTTGGCCATTACATGTATCTCCTCTTAACTGGCCAGGAGCACGCACACAACCCACC